CCGCGGTAGTCGATGCAGAGACGAAGAGTTCCATCCGCTTTGCGAGCAAAGAGGACGGGTGCACCCCGCGGGGAGTTGCTGGGTTTAATGAAACCCAGTCTCAGGAGCTCCTCAAGCTGACGCTTGAGTTCGGTGGCCTCGGGGATCGAGAGTCTGTAGGGTGCCTGGTGGTGAACACGATAGTCAGGCACGAGCTGAATGGAGTGCTCGACGTCACGCATCGGTGGGATGCCGGCGTACGAGAGCGACGATGGGAAAACGCCGTGGTACTGTCGGATGAGGTCACGAACTGCGGGCTCCAAGTCAGCCGTATCTCGTGCGAGTTCCTCAGCGTCAGCGTCAGCGCGCGACGGCGGGGTGGACTCGACGGACGGCGGAGGGACGGAAGTAGAGATGGGAGCTATAGAGATAGAGGGAGGATCTGGCTCCAGAGGGATGAGCTCGGCGTCGGGACATGGTGGATCATAGTGTAAGAGATCCGTCACGTCCACCATAAAGAAGGTGACATCGTCCTGTCGAATGAAGTGAGCGAACTGCCGAGGCGAGGTGACAGTGATAGATGGAGATGGTGTGGGCACTGAAGGCGCCGGGGGAGGAGGATCGGGGTGTGGTGTCGCCGTGGTACCTATGAAAGGTACGCGATACGTCTGTCCGCACTTCGTTTTGAGAACGAGAGTGTTGGTCGCCCAATCGGCCTCGGTGCTGCGGAACCGACGAGACCACAGAGTGCCGAGAATGAAGTCGTACCTCGTCTCCATCACATCGAAATGTGCAGAGGTGCGGTGGCGACGAGACGCCGGGGAACGCTCAGTCGGCTCGAGAGTGAGGAAGAATGGGAGGTCGGTGACCGTCTGATCGAAGAAGCGTTGGGTCTTGTCATCCCCTAGGGTAACGGAGATGGGAGTCGGACACCCTGTCGTGGGTAAGCGGGCTTCCTTCACCACGYGTGGGTGAATGAAGTCGCCCTGAGAACCGGAATCCCACAACGCTGAGTACACCCTCGTAGAGGTCCCGAGTCGTACGGGGATGATCGGGAGGGTGCGATCAGGGTCAGAGAGGATGGCGAGAAGGCGACGCAGTGCAGCGACATGGAGGGTGAGTCGCTCCTAACGAGCCTGGGGCATGCTCAAGTCCAGAAGAGAGGACACAACGTCCTCGCGAGTAGCAAGCTGCTCGCTGCAACGGGCTGAGTGAATGGCTCGACGCGTCCGTAGTCGCGGCGGGGAAGGAGGGGAGACGGTGGTCTGCGGAGGCGCAGACGGTACTGCGACAGAGGGCTGAGTACACTCTGTCGAGTCCTGCGATACCTCAACTTCAGTAGCGAGAGGGGCGAACCGAGACGGAGATGTCGGGAAGCCCACTACTGAGGAGGGCGCAGGTGTACACTGCACTGTGGCTAGGAGGCGCCGCGGGGACGTGAGGCGCCGGGGGGGGACTGA